ATGGGATAGATTGACAGTTGGGCGAAATTCATTCTGATTTTAGCTCAATGGGGAAGTTCGGCGGTGGTTGAACAGTGCCAGGGAGCGCGCAGAGATCCTAACCTTCAAAAAGTGATGATTAGAATCGACCAAATGTGCCAACATGGTGCTCATCACAGTTTTACTTCCACCATTGCGTAGACTAACTGGGCAATGTTCACGTATTCACTCAGACAGCCTCCTGGTGGTTCTTCCGATGTATCTTGCTTGACATGAACGGGAGGAATATACACAGAACGAGGCACTCGACTAAGAAAGTCTGTCTTTGAGTCGAAGTAAAGCTTATCCATAAGCCTGCTGCGTAGTAGGTATGGCTCATAGCGTTGAATAACCTTCTAGACAGTTTGTGCTTTTCCATCCCTCTTAAACGGCAAAGGCAAATAAACCAGTCCGTTTTCGATCGAAGCTGGTTTAGCCCTCACTTCTCGGCACTCCATAGTTTTCTGAACAAAGTTTTGCGGATAGCCATATAATCAGGTTGCGTTTCTGATTTATTGTGATAAAGCTGGTAAAATGTAAAATTCTCTATTCCACGTTGCTTTTCCGTGCATCCTACGTTGGACCGATCCATCTGGTCTTCTACTAATCTGGACGTCTACGAAGGACATCGCGCGCTGAATTGAAGTGGGACAAAATTTTCTCTGGACAAGTGACTGTCCGACACGCAAAAGATATCACCCACATATCGCCCTAATCAGGCATACCGCTAATGACTGTGTAGAAAGGCATTATCTAATTTGCTCACGAACACATGTACTGGCAGCGGTCCAAGTGGTGAACCCATTGGTACTCCATCCTTTTATCTGTATACGGCCCCGTTAAACTAAAATGGTGTTACTAGTACACAGCATGAGTTGCTGTTCAATCGATCGTTCGAAAGGCTGACACTCAATTGATGGTTGCGAACGATGTCACATATATGTCACATATTGGTGAAGAACGATACGACATCCAACGAAAACATCTTTCTTCCAGTTCGTTGAAGCTGTCTAAGAAGTCTAAAAAGGAGCCTAAAAAGCTGAATGTGTCCCGTAGGCTATACCTGGACAGAACTTCTCTCACTGGCTCTAAAGACTTTGCTACCCACTTGGATGTTACGAGGTACGGTGAGTTGCACATGTCTAGTATGGGTCTTAATGAAAGTTCCTCCTTTCGGTAAACTATAATTTTGGTATCACCGTCCCTGAGGAACGAATGTGTCCGAACATGGCGGAGTCAATCGCGTTTGCTTGTTTCAAGCGGAGTAGAGGTTTGGTAACTGTCTTCCACAACTTATCAAAACGATTAGAGCACTTTAAAAGGCAATTTAATCGGTCGGAATGGTTAGATTTCTCGCTGGCCACAGATCACCCCGCTCCCTGGGCTGTCCCTTTGGATCCACCCTCTTGCTCAGAAGTCAAACGTGAGATCGAACTGTTGAAGTTAAATAAAGCCGCGGGACCTGATGATCTTCCTCCAGCCCTCTTCAAATTCGGGGGACCTGCTCTTGTGGATGATTTACACGAGTTACTAGTCAAACTGTGGGAGTAGGAAACTGTCCCAACCGATTGGTGCCGCTCCATCATAGTCCCAATTTTCAAGGGAGGCTCACGATCGGAATGCGGCAGCCATAGAGGAATCAGTCTGATCTCCATCGCCTCCAAATTGCTTGCCTCTGTCATCCTTCACAGACTGGCTGGCACTTGTGAAGCTGGATTTTGTCGAGGTCGTGGCTCCATTGATCACATCTTCACCTTGAGTTAGTTGTTGGAGCACCGTCACATATATTGGCGACCCACGGTTGTCGTGTTCCTCGATATCAAAGGTGCATTCAATTCCGTGGATAGGCATGCACTTTTGGACTGTCTACTCAGGAAAGGTGTACCTGAGAAATATGTGAATATGATCCGGACATTATATGCGCGTAGCTCGGGCAGAGTGAGGGCTTACGGCAAGTTGTCGTCGCCGTTTAATATCTCCAACGGCGTGAGACAAGGATGCCCGCTGTCACCTTTCCTCTTCAACTTCGCTGTTGGCGAAATCATGGAAATCGCGTTCACAGGACACGACTTTAAAGGTGTGGATCTGCTCTCAGGAGAATGACTTCTTGACTTACAGTATGCTGATGATATTGCCCTAATCTGTGACAGCTCACAAACATGTCAAGCGGCACTGGACAGATTAGCACCAGTTGACATCGATTCGCACCCTCGAAGTGCAAAGCGTTCCTCCAAGAGTGGTCTGGACCGTCTCCTATGCTGACCGTCGGTTTGGATCAACTAGAAGTCGTTTAAAAATTCAACTACCTGGGAAGTTGTATCAGCGCCCGTGGGATTGAGGATGAGATCACGAACCGTATAGCAAAAGCTCGGGGCGCTTTTGCCAACCTTCGCCACTTATGGCGCCGGCGCGACATCACTCTTGCCCTGAAATGAAAAAATGAAATGTGTCAGCTTATACGCCGTAACGGCGCTTCGCTGCCGCGTGAACACCACCAGTCGCGCGCGGGCTGAGTATACCGCAAGGACGCCCACCCCTACACGGAGTCGAACCGGTGGCCTTTTGGTTGCAAAGCAAACGTGCAGACCACTCGGCCACCGGCCGACCACTCTTGCCCTGAAGGGTAGAGTGTACAATGCAGCGGTACGTTCGACACTACTGTACGGTTTTGAAACCTGGCCGCTTAAAGCAGCGGACCTGAAGAGGCTAGTTACGTCCGACCACCGGTGCCTTCGTAATTTAGCTCACATCCGGTGGGAACACCGCGTGAGCAACGAGCGTGTTCGATGCTTTGTTTACGGCACAGGAAAAGGAAATGAACCGCTCAGCACTGTCATTTCACGCACCAGGCTCCGATGGCTCGGCCAAGTGTTACGCATGCCAGTCCACCGACTCCCGCGACGTGCGTTGTTTGCGCGCCGGGGGTGTGGATGGAAGATGGCCAAGCCATGACTTGGTTGAGAGGAATGAAGGCCCTCACTTCTGAGCAGGCCTCGGCTGGAGCGTCTCGGCTCCTTGGTTGGGGTCCGAAAGACGATGAACACGTTTGGTTGGACATAGTTGCTGATATGGCTAGGAGCCGACCTCAGTGGCGTTCGTGCTGTGAGTTTCTTTGTCCCACCCCATCCCTCCCCCTCCAACCACGATCTCATTATTTAGCCTCATATAATTTTGCACAGTAATTTTTTTGATGCACAGTAACCGGCTGGTAGCTTAGCGGAACGATGACCATCCGTTACCGGTAGCTCATCCGGCTTGCACCAGCTGCATTTTTTCTCCTTTTTGCTGTGTATTGCGGCACAGTAGCTGAGGTGTTCCCCATCTCTAGCCAACGTGTATGATGATGATGATGACTATCTTCGATTGCCGTAGTTTTGTTCTTCTCCATTTTACGCAACATCGAGCGATCGCTAAGGATGACGTTCATCTTGTCGATGTAGTCAGCTTTCTCTATCAATACGAGCCCTGCTCCTTTACCCGGTCTGGAAAGTAACGCATTCTCATTTTGTTTGAGGGCTTTGAGAGTGCCTAGGTGGCCTTTTTTCAGCAGATACCTTATTTTGGATTTGTTACTCAGATATTGGTGACAAGTACTGACCCGGTTAGATTTAAAATGCTCAGACGCTAATGCTGACGAAGGCGTAGCTTCACGAAGGCAGTAGTTATGTTTACTGGTCGCATTGACCGGTTAGAAAAACTCAAGATTAAGGTTTGCATCCACTGTTCTGGAACCCATCGGTAAGAATGAAGGTTGAGGCGTGTGAAAGCAATACGAGCTGCGCACAACTAAACAAGAAATATGCACTATTGTAGATATTAAGTTTCCTAGCATCAGAGGACGCCGCGTTACAAAGTAGATCTTTTAAGGCATGCAAAGGAGCTACGTGCATGATCGGAGTACTTCTAGAAATTCCTTTCGTTGGGGTTAAACAACCGAGGAAACGAAATTCCTGCGGCACCGGTTTGATCGGTGATGAAGAACGTGTCTAGCATAAGACCACTGTGGCTTGAGGAAAAGTGTTTCAAGTACAAAGAATTTATTTGAGAGTAAGTAGGACAGAATACGTTGCAGAATAAAGTGCGAAACGTTGTCACATTTAAAATAACCGATCGCGCGGCAGCGAAGCGCCGTTACGGCGTTCAGCTGACACATCATGATTTATTAGTTTGCTGAGCAGCACCACAACTTCCCGATCAATGCGGAAATGGTTTGGGTCGTTGTGAAACAAGGTTCCACAAGGGCATTGCAGCTGCATGGGAAGCAGTAATACCCCAACATACTCTGGTGAGAATCTAACAGTCGTTTGATGGTCCCTTGAACTGCGTATCCAAAACGGGCACTGATAAACATTTCCGATCATCTACTAAGTGTCGGCATAAAGTCCGGTTTTCAACTGCGACCTCATGTCGTAATATCATCAATGAAATAGTCTCTGTATAACACTCCCAAACTCTTCTCCAAGAATACGTTGGATGAAAACGAAATCTTTGCGGCGGTGGCGGCGGCGATAATCCATAAGGAACAGATGCGATATTTGAGAGCGGATTTATATCTAAAACGTTGAACCTCCTCACATATCACATCCGGACTTGGTAAGAGGGCAGGAGGCAGGCAATTCATATTCGAGGATCAGAGGCAATCTCTGAAGAGTGTCGTCAGGCTGGAGAACGCTCTTTGTATAGCATGGAACATCCTGTAGCTCCCGGCTATTTTCTTTAGGATGTCTCGGGTAGATTCGAGGTCTGAAGACCGCCATTCTGATACCTCTTGGGTAGCAAAACGGAGCAAAAAACCACCAATACGGTACACTCAAACTGGATCAGTGACATTAACGGATAGAACAGAGCAAGGCAGCAACAAATGGTACACGAGCACTATTAGGTAGTCCTGTAGAAGACGTTATCCGAAGTTCATTAAAACCAGTAAAGGCATTCCGAACATGAGCAGTGTTTGGCGAATCAAGTGACAAAATGCTACGTACCTTTGCGATTCTGATGAAAAACGCCAGCAGCTCGGTGCGCTTAGATACACTAGACAGCTTTAAAATTTCTTTCTGGACCCAAAAATTTATTTGATTAAACCATCGTGTTGAAGCCACGATATTCGGTGCGTGAATATGTTTTTCCTTTCCATTCCATTTCAAGCTAGAGAACTCCTACAAATGAGGGCCTGTCGCATGAGTTGACTTACCTCTCGCTTTATAGCCTTGAAAAGTGAGAGCTCAATAATAGTTAATTGTTTCTGTTAACCGATATAGACAATGATAAAACACTTACGGCGAAATTGTCTGGACTGGCCTTCGGAATACAGGACGGGGACCCGATATCGGACACTGGCTGGTCATTCGCAGGTAAAAGCGGACGGTAACAGCCAGAATACTTTATATAATCCATAGATATATTTTAAGAGTTCACATCCCAGCACAGTGGGAGATGGCGAAACTGGGAACCGGTCCGCGAAAGGGCAAAAGTTAGTTGCAGAAAGCAACCTTGGCTGAACTTAACAGCATAAACATAGGATTGTTTAACAACATGAAAGAATTTAGCGCATTATATATACTATCGGAACAGTTGTAAAAATTCATGCTGTGGTGCATTTATGGTCTGGTGTTCATGACGCTGTCATTTTAAACCATGTGGCTGCTCTCTCCCGGAGGGTTTATATTATTGGACAGTGGAAATCAGTAGGGTAGCCTCATGTCATCTATCGCTTTCTGAAGGTTGCGGACGTAGCTTAGATTATACGCTACAAGGTTCCTTAGAGGACTACCTCAATGAACAAGGAACAATGTGTTATCACGGGTAATAAGCATGTACTTGACAGGTCCCATGGGATAGGTTCAAACAACAAGAGCCTGGTAAACTAAACTATGGATCATGGAGTTGCATGCATAGTTCCAGTTTCTCGAAAGCTTTCATGGATTCCGGTAGACGGTTCTAGTCTTTCGCGGTGCGAGTTGATAAAACCACGCTGGGTCACACCCGGCGACTCCACTGTTCGGGCAGTTGCAAACTGTCACATTGTGCAGAAAGCATTCATATTCAAGTTCAGTTGGGATTGCAATGGTAAGAAATTCCCATGTATGTTCCTTCGTAAAAGCGTCGTTGATTCAGGGTACCAACGGAATCAATTGCGGCAATCTGTTATAGCCAAAGCAACACGCACGAATCCCACCATAGTCAGGCAAGAACTGATCGCGTGACTCGCATTAGCAATCTTTCTTACGCTAGACAGGTGCAGTTGAAGTAATAATACGAACTACCTAAGGGCGGCAATAATCGGAACTGTAAGAGTAATAAGATTAATACCAGTTACTATTTGAACTTAAGACGTGAAACAAGAATTGGAACTGTAGCCCGAAAGCGTGGTGTTTATGCTTCAACTTTTGCGCAGCTTTTGGTGACACTAAGTCCTTCGTTAATGCATTCCAGGAATCAACTACTATACGTGACAGCCGAACGTTGGTGCAAACGCCATCACATCGCGGTTTGTGCAACTTTATCGAGTGGCTATGGAGAGATGGTGGTAGGATTGGCTCAGAAAGCCAAAGCAATCCTGTGCAAACCTCCCCTGCCAGAATACCATTAGGAGGAACCAACTAGCCATGTTGTCGGCGATAGTGTGACGGAAACATTCTGATCGCAAGGAGTCTCTCAAGATTTGTCAGGTAACCTAGTCCATTGACAACGTTGTGCTGACCTTGAGGATATGTTCCAGTCTCATCCTATCAAGGGGCAAGGTAAGGTGAACAAGCTTATACGCAATAGGCTTGGTGCGGCCTAACTAAGCCTGGAAACCAGCTAAGGAAAAATTCCGGTGCAAAGGTTCTAAACGACCTGCGGAACATCCATAGCTTTTAAATAAATAAATAAATAAAGTTTTTATTCTCGACAAGGCGAGGCACGCCTTTACAGGCATGATCATTATGACAACAGTGCGTGGTCTAGGATGTGCAAGAATACGTTGTGTTGGCCGTACCAGTGTATGTTTACGTAGGGGGTATGTAACTATGTAACTGTGTGTGTGTGGCCGTGTCACTGTGAGGTTCCTGTTTGTAACTGTTCTGCTCTAACTTTGACTCTCATATCGTCGGCAATGCTCGAGTAGAAGATGGATGTCCGTGCGTTGGAAAGGATTATTCGGATACCCACGGGGCAGTGACTTTATTTTGTGGCGAGTCACGACTGCCACGTCACAGTGTTGTTAAGCAGACATTTGTGGCTTTTTATAGGGAGAACGCTTGTCAGGCGAAAACCCACCACGTCCTGGAGCACTGCCGCCGAACTATTTGCTGGAACGGGTCAAACCCGAACCACCCAGCTGGCACCACGAGGAGGTTGTTCGGCTAGCCAGCGCATTGTCGGTGTCATCTTTCCAGTGAACAACACCCAGGTCAATCTGCTGGGAAAATTATGGTGCCCATGCCATCCATGCAGGTTACGTGTGGAGGAATGCTTGAGCTTAGGCGCAAACTTGGATGCTTGCCGTTAGTAATCAAGATGTGCCACAGAGTAGCCAGTCCCAAAGTCTATCAAGACTTGTTGTAAATACTGGGAACCCTCGAATTTGGTCACAGGGTACCAGTATTTCAAGTAATTGTTAACCAGAAAACACGGTAAGCCTTATATTTCGGGCAAAACATTTACACTATGGCGAACTGGTAGATTTCTCAGCTTTGCTTAGGGTCCAAAATTGGGACCATTTCTTTCTTTCGTCTGATATTAAGGGAGCCTCCGATATCTTCTATGACAATGTGGCTATGTGCTTAAGCATACTTGCCTCCTGTGATAACACGAGAGTCTCTTCTAATACGCTAATAATGCAAAGGACAAGCGGAAAATTCGAGTGCTAACTCGAACATTTGAACGTACTCATGACTTTAGTGTATTATTGAGACTCCAACGCCTTATAATTGAGATGGACATGAAACATCGAACTCGTCTCATGCAGGAAGAACGACGGGCTGTAAATAGTAGTAATACAAGTCAACTGGTGACTGCATTACTGAGGAAAAGGAGAGGTGGCAAAACTGACCTACCCTCCCACATCGTCATGCCTGAAGGTGATTGCATTGATTCCCCAATTGCCATGGCGGAAGCCTTTAACTCATACTTTGCTAGATCCTTTAATGTTGAAAAAGAAACTCTGGATATGTCAACCTCATTTCACTTCTCTGAACAAGTCCCAGCGATCGAGCTTAGTGTTGCTACGATAAAACGTATGCTTACTTGTCTACGACCATCCTACAGACCTGGCCCCGATGGGATCTCTTCTGCTTTAATCAAACACGGTGGAGATGATATCCCTCTTATAGTATTAAATATCTTCTCTTTGTCTCTCCAGTCTGGTCAATACCCCGAACGTTGGAAAACGGCTACGGTCATACCGAGACATAAGTCCGGGTCAAAAACTGACATCCGGAACTACCGCCCCATTAGTCACACAGCCATTCTCTCACGCATGCTAGAGAGAATTGTTAAGGAACATTTGGTTTCGTTCCTAATTTCGCACAAACTTCTCTCACCTTCACAGCATGGCTTTCTGAAATCTCGCTCGTGTGTTACCTGTCAAGTTGACTTCCTTAACCATCTAACTGAAGCAATTGACTCAGGTCGTCAGTGCATTGTTATCTTCCTCGACATGCAAAAGGCTTTTGACAGAGTCCCACACAAAAAGCTGTTATGTAAATTAAGTAAGTACGGTGTTACAAACCCGCTTTACTCTTGGATCCAATCTTACCTTGTAGGACGGTCGCAAGTTGTGGATATCAATGGTTACATCTCTTCACCTCGTCCGGTTACCAGTGGAGTGGTGCAGGGCAGTGTCTTAGGCCCGTTGCTCTTCCTACTGTATATAAATGACCTGGTTTCTGTCATACAATTTGGGAAGCCTTATTTATTTGCTGATGATTTAAAGGTGGTCTACACGTTCCCAGGTTCTCAGCGTATCGCTGAAGTTAACAATATCCAAAGCGACTTGGAAGCCATTGAGAGATGGGCTGATATGTGGCAGATGACATTTGCAACATCCAAGTGTAGTATTCTATCGTATGGATGTCAGATAGCAGCAGAAGTGTTCAGGCTTCATGATGAAGTCATTCCCATCAGCCAGTCTGTTCGTGACTTAGGTTTAAGATAATCTAGTTCGTTAAACTTTAGCGAACATACAAACCATATCGTGAAAAGGCTAAGCAGTCGGTCGGGCTCATATGCCACCTGCTAACCTTGAAAGAAACCAGACTAATTGCTTTCAAAATCAGTATCTGGCCTTTGCTTGAATATTGTTGTGCTGTGTTCAGTAACTTGCGAAAGGCTGACTTGAGAGCCATTGAAAACGTCCAACGCGCCTTTACGAAGCGCATATTTGGCTGTTCAACCGCTCTTTCATACCGAGATAGGTGCAAGCAATTGAAACTTGAACCTCTGTGGTTACGAAGAATGCAATTAAATCTGTGCTTCCTCCACAAACTCGCGTGGCGGAAAGCATATCTTGGAACATATCAATTGCACTTTCGAGAAAACACCACTTATGAACTGCGAGATAAAGAATGCATATTCTATTTACCTAAATTCAAGAGCAGTCTAAGGAGAAATTTCTATCTTCTTAGGTATGGCTCCATTTGGAATAAGCTGCCAAGAGAGATTAGATGTATTGAACATTTCTGCATGTTCAAGAAAATGATAAAGGCTTATCTGTCAACGGACAGAGCGAAATGGATCTTAAACATTCAATTTGATGATAAAAAAATGTATGAAGAAGGGCCGGATCATGTATGATACGGGAGAACACCAACTCTACTGCACCAGAGAAAACTTGATCAGCTAGGATGAGCTGATACAAACCGCTTCTTATGCTATTCCTTAACGCTACATTCCATGCGGTTTTACTCCCTTTCAACTTAATTCATATCAGATGTCTTCTGTTTAAAACCGATAGCAAAATTATTTACTGGTGTGACGTCAGCAGCTATTTTCGTAATTTTTCCCACAAATTGATTAATTCGTAATATTGTTCTGCAATCCCCTTCGCTACATTTGTTCTCCAGTGCTAATAATTTCCCCCTCTTTTCTGAAACTAACAGTCCAGAAACATATACTTGAATTCAAGTATGGCAATAACTGATTCCCTACGCGACTTTTGCCTATGGACAACTTGTACAGTCATCTGTCTCCGGGTGTCACGCTACACAATTTATCGTATGATCGGCTCGATCGATTTCTACGCCGATGTACAAAACATACCTGCCTATTCTTACATTAACGATATAGTACCTCTTTCACAGAATTCTTCTTTTCCACATTCTTCCTTATTTCATAGTTGGCCACGAATGGGCTGATCTCCTGTGGTGACGGATTACAGCTTCCAGATTATAAAAGACGTTACCTATGCAAGGCAAATTGCCACCAACTCTCTGGCGTATAAAAAAGTGCCATAATAGAATGATCCGCATGACGGACTGGGCTGAACCTTCATGGCCCATAATACATGTTCAAAAACAGCTCTAAAATGAACAAAACATATGATATACAGGTGATGGCTCATATGCTACTATGCCACACCGGCACACGGCCAGTTATTGCATGGAAGTGCGAGCGAAACCTTTCGAGGAATTACCTTGCATGGAAGCAGGTCCCCTGGGGATGGTTCCACGAGTGGCCGTATTACTTTAACTGGACATCTGTTTAAATTTGCTTACGTTATTGTTCCCGCTTTTTATTTTC